TTCCACGTACAAGTTCCACGGCATCTACTCATTCTTAGCCGCATCTCTGGCAGATGTTGTTAAGGCATGTTAAGGCCAGTCTTGTTTGCGGTTTTAAAGACACAGTCCACTGAGATCCACTGGGATCCACTGGGTATCGCCGATTGCTGATTCCCCAAAGGCTTAGAGATCTTAAAGGGTCGGTTGCACCATGGAATGACGGGGCCATGCAGCAGGGGCACTCGAGGAGCAGTGCGAGCAGTGCCTTCTGCAGATGTCGTCCCAAGGGAGGCTTCACCTGGACAGCGTGGGCAAAGTTTGTGTTGTCAGTTGCTGTGTCGAAAGAAGAAAATATCATAAGGATAGCATAGGATATACAGTAATAGATGTAATAGGAATGCCACAAATGCCTTGGAGTTACATGCAAGGAGCAGTATCAGTGTATAGCATCGGTGGAAATTGTGTGTGTGTGTTGAGGATCGAATGTTGCTGCAAGTCATCATCAGCGTCATGGTCGTCCTCATTGTAATCACCATCGTCGTCATCATCCTCCTCCTCGTCGTCCTCCTCATTACTGTGTGGTTTCATAGCCTCATAGTTTCATACTTATGATTCTGGTTATCGTGAGCAGCAGCTCCATCAGCACCCTTGAAGCACTTCCCCAGTCTCATGCCATCATGGAAAAGGTAGCATGACGGCAAGGGACTTGTGATTGTTTTTTGAGAAAAACACTGACTGTAAGAAGATGGCACCTGGACCTGGCTCCTCAGGTTCTTCTGCATCGAAGGTAGGCCTCGCTTGTGCAGTTGGCTCAGACGGCGCGGGGATTGAACTGGACGAGAACCACTTCGGGTGCCACTTCGCGACATACCACTATCATAAACAAGGACAATTCAGCACAGCTCTGATGAACTTGAGGCTAGGGCACCACTTGCCAAACAAACGTATATTGTTGCATATTCTTGTATCTTGTTGCAAACGAATTCGAGCATGACTTGCTTTCTTCCCTCTTCCAACCCTGCTTTGGGCCCCAGTGCACTTTGGCATCCATCTGCACCTCGAAGTTAGATTCTCCCTCAGCCGAAGACGAGGTGGCCAATTATTACTTTGAGGACATGTTGGAAATCTCTCGCAATAAATATCTAGGACGGCGGTACTGGATAGTGGTGATGATGTTGTATCAAAGGTTCCAAACGTTTCGAAATGTTATCAAAGTGATCAACGTTGCTTTAGGAAAGAGCTTCACAAAGGGTCTGCATAATTGATGCCGGCATCCTCTGGAGATAAGCTAAGCTTCCAGCATGCAAACATATTCAAACTATATAGTGTAAAGGAAACTTGGTTTAGTTGTGTCCAGCATTTCTTCCTTGCCTACTGAATTATGCGTATGGTCCCAACAGCTTGAACAATGGACCACGTATCACAGATGCCAGGGAAAGTCAACAACTTCCAACTTGAAAGTTGAAGATGTAATCAAAGTATATCAAAGTATAAAGTAACATGCGTGCTGACAATAAGACTTATCGCAAGATGTCCAAAGGAAAGCGCAAGGTATGTGGAAAATGATTGTGATGCCTGCACAAGAAAACGAGTCCACGCACAATGCAAAGACTATCAAAGACTCCCAATTCAAGATTGCCGTGACTCAAAACAAGATTGAGAAGCCTGTTAGGATACACGAATGCACGAATGTACAGGATCAGGATATCGTAACGCCGCAAGATAGTTCCCTTCCCTCTTCATTCCATACATAGATTGTAATGATTGTACAATGTCTGACGGAACAATACTCGCCTCTTCATCTTCATCAATTTCATTGACTGTTGGTAGCCTCTCCTGGGACAGCATGCAACCAATAGATGTCAATTTGTTGCACTGTTAAGTCGCGAAATCTGCCAGATGCCCACTTTCACCGTTGTCCATGCACGCTGTTTGTGAAGCGGGTGGACTCTTTAAATCTTGTGGTCACTGATGTACTCAAATATCAAAACGAGGCAAACATTTGCAATATCCATGGCTGGCTGGCCATACATAGAAAAGCATAGAAATGCTACAGGCTATAGTATCTATAGAATGTAAAATGCTCCTTGTCGAAGTCGCCGAACATTGGAACACTGCACTCCTCCTCTGCAGAATTGGAAGCTGCTGCTTCCGATTCCAAAGCAGATCAGTACGTACGTTGCATCAGGGAACAATTCAAATCACGCTCGAAGTACACGCTTTCTTGCATTTTCGAAGCCCTTCAGGCTGGGAGCTGTCTTGTGATCCCGATGGTTGTCCGTGGTTTCAGCAAGATTCTTCAGCAAGATTCTTCTAAAATCTTCTAGATCCTCACTACAAAACATGAAAATGATCGACAACAAGCCACCATTTGGTGCGAGAACCAGTCGCAGGCCATTCATAATTAGTGTGACTTGGTCAGCAGTCACGAGAAGGGAGGTACGGCCATAAATCTTGGCTCTACACTTCGGGTATCTTCATACTGTGGTCCATTTGGATTCATGAGCCCACGCGTCTCACTTTAGTCATGAAACATGAAGCACTACGCCCAGCAACGTTAAGCCCTCTCCTCCACCTCTACCATCGGATCCTGCAGTTTGATTAGGGGATTCCGAGGTTGTGCTGTTGCAGTTTGAAACCGAATATTCCTTGCGGATCCTTGAGCCTGTGATTAGAAGCGAACAACCTGAAAAAAAGAGTAGAAAGATTGGAGCTACTGGATAGTGGTACTGGGAACCTGGATCCATTTGGGATTCTTGCCCTCAATGATGCTGCACACTCAAATGCTTAATGGTGGTAACTGCCTGTGTCTTGTTCAACAGGCGTTAAGCCCCCAAAAGTCCAAAGCGAATCACTGGACTGCTAGGGAGTGCTAGTTCGCTGAATTCCATCTCTTGGTAGCCATATTATGCTGGCACATGTGCAATGAGTTTTACTTGCTTGTGGTAGTGACTCCTGGTAGTGACTCCTGGTAGTATTGGTAGTGACTCCTAGTAGTGGAATCCAGTCTGCCGAAAATTGCCACAGGGTCAAGGTACAAATGAGAGACAAGTAATCGTTCTGCGCTGGATCTTGAGTAAAGCTAATATCTCCTGACCTGACCCAGAACGGCCCTTGATGCCTCAAAATCCGGGAAGTCTCCAGAATCAGAAGTCTCGTCATTCCCAAAGGATGTTGACAGCAATGGATCATCAAAGACGTCTTCAAAATCACCTGGAGCCACTGTCCAGTCCATACTCTCCCCACGCGCTTGGGGTGGGGTGGGAACATCAACAAACAAGGCCTGCTGCCTCAAGCAAGGTGATCATCGAAAGAAATGCAAACCCAATACTATCACATGGGAGTTGTTCAAAATTATGGTAACCCAAAACTGCCCTTACGCCGCCGTTTCGCGAACCTTTCGCGCCCTTTCGCGCCCCAGCAGAATCGGGACAGGGAATTATGATCATGTTTTCGTGCGCATATTTCGTAATAAAGATTTACAGGAGGATTGTATTAAAAACAGGGAAGTGCAAGCATTCGCCTACTGTAAGTCGTTTTGCAGATTGCCCGATAGCGGAAACACAAGTTGAAAAGACTTTGAGCGGTTTTTGCAGTGGCATTGCAAGACAAACTAGACCATTTTGGGCCAAGGTCGGATCCTGGCAGACTCGCCTTTCGCCAACCTTTCGCGAACCTTCTGCGAACCTTTCGCGGATTTCTCGCCTATAAAACTGTTTTTTAAACTCATGTTTCATGAGAGGATGGGCGGGTGTTTCAGTTCCAATACTAAAACCCATTCCTATCTGAGAGAAACCTCCCAAAATGCTTGTTCAATGATTGTATGAATGCAACTGTAACTGCCAAGCATGAATATTATATCACATACATCGAGTCTAATAGGTGTATTCAGACCTTTCGCGAACCTTTCGCCGCCCTTTCGCCACTGCAGCAAAGATACACATCCACATCTGCAGATGTCACTCGGATACTAAAAGTCTTGCGTGGTTTTAGAACGACTCCCACATACTGTGTAATATGGTAAAACGCAATTGTCATGTTGGATCTGCAAAAAAGGCTGTGTGTCGTGTTCATATTTTGTCCACGTTTCCTTCACTAAACCGTGTATGAAGCCGGCTAAAAGCATGTCCACAATTCCCTAATCTGCGTCCAGATGCTGCGTCGGCTGGGTGAGGGATCTACCTTGGCATAGCACAGAACTCCTATGACCAGTTGAGATTCCATTCGCACTAAAGTCTACAAATGGCCAAAGTATTCTGGAGTGGACAATATGAGAGGCATCCTCAAAAATGGGGGGAGCGGTTGCCCGTCACTGAAATTGATAACATTGCTGGATGTTGGGAGTCCTTGACTTTACTGGAATAATCTCTGGTCCGCAACTGACCTGTAGAGATGTGAGTCTTGCTAGTGCCGAGTGAAAGCCAAGCAACAAATCGCAGAGGTTCCGCTGGGTTGGATCCGACCCGTTCGAATGGAGCCATTGGCGCCATTGGCGTCATCGCCTTGCTGGGCTCCGGGGCGTCTCCGAAGTCTGCTTTGTCCTGGAAACGCCAAGCCATTCCCACAAGCATTTCTTCGATCACGCTGTCAAGCAAAATACAAACAGCCTTCTTCTTTCCAAGGATTGTACTTAGTAGTACTGTACTTCACATCCACGAGATTCACGAGATGTCATTATCCCATGATCGAATCAATGCAGTTTATTCAAGAATGTTCCTGAAAAGAAACGCATTGTCTGAACAAAATAAGAAAAATCCAGATCAGTCCCAGCGGCCTTGCAAGCAAACATCCCATTGCTGGAACTCGATGCCCCGCCAGAATGTGCTGCCTCCGCTGGACTTTTGCTGGCGGAGTCGACATCGACTTCGATTACATCTTCTGGTTGGGATGTCATCACCTGAGCACATTGCAATACATCGCACATCACAATCACATCAAACAAAATCAAGCAATATAAAAAATGCCGCGTCAAAAGCGATTCAAAAGCGCAAATCTGAAAAGTTTCAAGCGCTTCAAACATTTCAAAACTCGACTGGAAGTTCAGAAGAAACCGCCACTGTAGCCCGGTTGGAAATGGTGGCAAGATGTGGCAAGATGTGACAAGGAGCAAGCTGCAAGACTTGGCCATTTCTTCCCAAGGTTGCTTGTAGCCAGCTGTCTTGGGTGGAGTCCACCTGACAACGGACAGCATGGGTTCCAAAGCCCGCGCCAAGAAACACGATCCTTATCGATCCTTGATTTTTTGCACGTGCCCAAACCATCCTAAACCTGTAAGTGTAGTGGTCACCAGTGGTCTCCCGTTGATGTTCCAAACGACACAAAGACTATACAGTAGGACCCAGTAGGATAACTGCATGTCCAAGAAAAAATGTGCCAAGCACGGGCTACAAAGACAAGAATCAGTCCTACCAAGTAAGTCACTGCCTAAGATCCCAGAATGGTGTAATAATGTAGAACGTGAACGTGGAAATACCACAAGCCTTGTGCGCAAACCAAATGCGAAACTGCATGAAAGTTGCAGTCCCAGGGTGTGGCAAACCAGGTGTTTGTTGCTTCGCGAACACGCTATATATATAATATATATATATGCTAAGTACAGTATCGACTTACTAAACCTTGAAACATCAAACCTCCGCACACTATACATATGTAAAACAGGGGAGTGAAGGGGATGTCTGACCCATGTGCCAAGATGATCCAAGATGTACCAAAATGTGCCAAGAAAATACGCCTCTTCGACTCCTTTGACTTCCATCGAATTGGTTTCTTCAATTTCAGTCTCAGGCCTACTGGCCACCTTCGCTTGTGAACCTTCTGGAAAGTATTCTTTAAAGTCAGAGTTTTTTGAGCTTTGACGTTCCTCCTCCACTACTTCATTGCTAGTGCCTTTTTGTGCTGGAACAATTTCTGATGTCGTACTTCCGTTTGGAAGCACTGCCTCTTCTTGCGGGGTAGCTTTTGCTTTCTGTCCGGTCGACGCATCCATTTGGTTGCCGTTCTCCGACTGTGATACCATCAGAGAAGAGCTTGGCACTGATGTACCAAGAGTTTGCGCTTCGACCGGCAGCAAGCTGCTTTCACTTCCCGTGGCCTTTTCAGGACCTGGACTCTCCTCCGTAGGTTCGCTTTCAACTTCATTTTTCGAGGCCACATTTGTTGTCATTGAAGGCTCTGTAGTATCCTTTGCACTAGCTTTTGAAGCAGTTCCATTTGCAGGGTCTTCTCCATCGTCTACCTCAAAGTCCTCCTCCCAGTCGTGAGTTGATTGCCTTCTCATGTCTGTTTCATCTGCAGGTTGAGAGTCTCCCTGCGAGTCTGGCAAAGTTGCGATTACGTCTCCTGTTTTTGGCACTTGCCCTTCAACTTCACCCGCTTCAACCTCCTTGACATTGGCCTTCTCTGGCTCTGCAGTTTCTGTATGATCATCCTGCTCAAAGGCTTCAGCATACTCATCCTGGTCCTCTGGCACTTTGACAGCGGAAGACCTTCCCTTGCCCTCACTACTATCAAGGCCATCTGCGGACTGCTTGATGAGCGAGTTTTCAGCCTGGCAAATTGTTTCACAGCGTGGTAAAAAACATGTTTCCACCACACTTTGGATACACAAAGCAAACCTCTATTTTGACAGGTTTTGACATGTCGTGACATGTCAAAACAAGTTTTGACATGTTATGACATGCTTTGACCGTATACATGCAGATCACCATAGTTTTCCCTTGGATATGCATATGTCATATGTACTGTTTATATATATATAATGTATATAGATATATACACAATACATACATGTATAAATATATGTATAATATCATATAACACATAATAATCCATGTGTATGTATATATATATATGTATATGTATATGTATATTATATAATATTATATATACGTATATATGCCTGGATATGCCTGGTATTTCCTGGGACAAACAGATAACTCTCCGAGCTGTGACCCGCACGAGAATCATGGATGCTGGCAGGGAATTGACAGCCTTGACATCCGTCGACGGTTTTTCAGCTTGTTGCGCGTACCTCACGACAGATTTGGGTTGTGATGGCGGTGAATCATTACAATGAAAGAAAAAGTTGCGATGCAACCACAGGCGAAAATGCAAAGCTTTGCTTGCTTTTTAGAAGACTGAAATAACAAATTGTTAGCAACCCCAAGAAGAAAGTCTCACAATGACTGCTGTTGCCATGACAGTGACGGCCAAATGATGAGGACACGCTGGTTCCATATTTGCTGTGTTTGTTTTGGAGCTGAAGATAGAAGCAAAACGAAGCAATATTAAAATGAATCTAATGATACATCTTCATACCAGCGAAGATAAGGATGGCTTGCCCCCCGTCAGTGCATTCAGCCATCAACATAGGATCCCTCCATGCCAAGCTGCTCCAGGTTGGTCAACTCACTGCTCGGCTTGCTTCGCGCTGCAGCGCTCGGGAGCTCAATCGGTGACGAGACCTGCGCAAATTGCTAGGTTTTGTAGAAAATCTTGGAGCCTGAAACCTCTGCTTATGCCTTATGGACTGCAAGTATGGCATGTCTGTTTGTATTGTTGTTTGACGCAAATCCGGTGGAATTGCAAAGTCACACAAACCAGATGCGTACTTGTTCACCTTAGGTGTCTAACGTTTGCCCAGGCTTGCAAAAGTATTGCGCACCATGTAAAATATGTAAACTTGAGGGTAGGCGTGTAGTGGATTCTGTGTATATCTCTAAGCCATTCTAAGCCCATGTGCAGCAAATGTGCCTCTTCAACTTCAGGAATTTCCACGTCCCCCTCTTCAACTTCAGTCTCTGTCCTGCTGGCCATTTCTGCTTGTAAAGTTCCAGGATTCCTGTCTTCCTCAAAGCTGTCATGATCATCGTCAACTGGTCCAAACCCTTTTTGTGCTGGAACAATTTCTGATGCCGTACTTCCGTTTGGTAGCACTGCCTCCTCTTGCGGGGTAGTTGTTGCTTTCTGTCCGGTCGACGCATCCATTTGGTTGCCATTCTCCGACTGTGATGCCATCAGAGAAGAGCTTGGCACTGATGTACCAAGAGTTTGCGCTTCGACCGGCAGCAAGCTGCTTTCACTTCCCGTGGCCTTTTCAGGACCTGGACTCTCCTCCGTAGGTTCGCTTTCAACTTCATTTTTCGAGGCCACATTTGTTGTCATTGAAGGCTCTGTAGTATCCTTTGCACTAGCTTTTGAAGCAGTTCCATTTGCAGGGTCTTCTCCATCGTCTACCTCAAAGTCCTCCTCCCAGTCGTGAGTTGATTGCCTTCTCATGTCTGTTTCATCTGCAGGTTGAGAGTCTCCCTGCGAGTCTGGCAAAGTTGCGATTACGTCTCCTGTTTTTGGCACTTGCCCTTCAACTTCACCCGCTTCAACCTCCTTGACATTGGCCTTCTCTGGCTCTGCAGTTTCTGTATGATCATCCTGCTCAAAGGCTTCGGCATACTCATCCTGGTCCTCTGGCACTTTGACAGCGGAAGACGTTCCCTTGCCCTCACTACTATCAAGGCCATCTGCGGGTTGCTTGATGAGCGAGTTCTCAGCCTGGCAAATTGTTTCACAGCGTGGTAAAAAACATGTTTCCACCACACTTTGGATACACAAAGCAAACCCCTATTTTGACATGTCTTGACATGTTTTGACATGTTATGACATGTTTTGGCCGTATACATGCAGATCACCAATAGTTTTCCCTTGAATATGCATATGTCACAAGTACTATATTATATATACACTATATACATGTATAAAACTGTATAAATATACGTACATATATAAAATACCAAATAAGACATATTTAATAATACATGTGTATGTAAATAAATAAATATATATATATATATATATACGCCGACCCCAGCTGACGGCAGGGGGAGCGTGTCAGAGAAGACATTACAAGCAGCATGGCCCGTCTTTCAGTTGCATGGTGCTTCGGTGTGGCGAGGCCAAGGTTTTGGAGGCTTGTTAGACACAGTCAAACGCAGGCCGAAGGCCTGGTGCGTCCTTCAGTAGCTTTCGGTGTGAGGCCAAAATTTTGGGGCCTTGAAAGCTGCAATTTGGATCTATATAGTTTCTTGTCGGTTCAGAAAGCAAGGTTTGGCACGGCCGAAGGCCTGGTCCGTCCTTCAATTGCATGCTGCTGCAGTGTGGAGGGGCCAAGGTTTTGGAGCTAATTTCTTGCCGGTTCAGACAGCAACGTTTGGCACAGGCAGCCGCAGGCCGAAAGCCTGGGCCGTTCTTCAGTTGCATGGTGTTTCGGTGCGGCGAGGCCAAAAGGTTTTGGAGGCTTGAAGGCTGCAATTTGCAAAGAGCTCGTCTAGAGGCAGCCGCAGGCGAGCCGGCCTTCAGTGGCACGCTGCTTCGGTGTGGTGACACCAGCCTTTTAGGCGGTTTCGGACTGGCGGCAACCTTTTTTGGCGGTCGGAGGCTAACGATGGCTACAATCTGGAACTAGTTTCCAACGTGTTAGGCAGGACCCGCCGCAAGCCAAAGGCATCTTCCGGCCTTCACTGGCACGCTGTTTCGGTGTGGCAACACCAGCCTTTTTAAGGCGGTCGGACGACCATAATTTCGGTCTAGTTTCTAGTCACTTCCGCCTTGTAGGCGGTCGGACGGCCACAATTTGGAGCTAGTTTCTAGTCGCTTCAGAAAGCAACGTTAAGCAGGATCCGCCGGAAGCCAAAGCGCCTTCCGGCCTTCAGTGACACGCTGTTTCGGTGTGAAATGACAAAGGGCTGCATATACATTCCTTCATACTATCTTTTTGACCTCTGCTGTCATATCTATATATCTATACCTACACTAAAAATATACTCAGACATTAGTTATCATTAGTATATCTTCGTATCTTGTCATTGCCACTAGCAGGTCGCCCCAGGGCCAACACCCCTGGGGTCGGCGGCAGGGGGCAGCAGCCCTTTTATATTTATATACCTGGTATTTCCTGGGACAAACGAATAACTCTGTGACCCGCACGAGAATCATGGATGCTGGCAGGCAATTGACAGCCTTGACATCC